GTCTTCACATCGAGGAGGTCCCCGATGCCTCCGCGCTCGCCGACGCGACATTGACCGGCACTGGGCCGCTACGCCAGTCAACTGGGGACTCCCGCGACCCATCTAGAGGACCGATGCTCACCTATGGGCCAACGCGCAACAATGGGCAGCAATTCAAAGACCAAAGACGAAGTAGGGCGACATCTCCACGTCGGCGGCAACCTGCGGTGGCGACGACAACGTTCCGATGAGCCATGGTGCTAAGGGAGCAGTAGAGGTAGCGAGTGAGCATTAGCGACTCACCAAGGACCCGGCTGAGGTGATGGTTCGGCTGGAGACGCCCCGAGCAGGGCTGGCCACGTATGCGCGGTGAGCTCGACGATGAGCCACGGTGGACATGACCGCGTCAGTAGCATTGGAACAGTGGTAGGGGTATGACTCAGGTGCGCATGGAGAGGAGGGGTTCGAGACGAGTCTAGCGGTGCAGCCAATTTGGCCCGAGATGGTCAGGCGAAAGCTGCCCTCGGGGATGGGCGGACTTAGCCTTATCGGCATGGTGGCGAGAAAAGCTCTAAAATTGAAGCTCGACCGGGTGCCATTCAAGGCGAGGTGGGGGCGGGTAGCTAGGCAGCTGGGTGACGGAGCCAGCGGCACGATGAATCGGGCGATGGTGACTTCTCCCTTCTTGTTTTAATGGTGCGGCTCAGCCCACCATGGCAGCAGCGAAGAGGGAGGGGAGGGGGTAGGTCAGAGCTTAGCTTGTCCTCGCCTTGGCGGGACGTGAGCGGCCCGAACAGGACACACACGCACAGGCGCTACGGACAAGACGTGCGCGCATCCACGACTGACACGGCATGAGCGACTACCGCGCCTTTATGGGCGAGGCAACAACAGGTACGACCATGTGCCGATGCCGTGGATACGCTAAGCGTGCGCAGCAGCAGCGGTACGACCACCGGTAGGGCGGACAACGGTGCAGAGCCACAGGGGGGGGGCCGCGGATGTGACGGCGAGGCGACGGCAGCGCAGCGTGGCCGTGGCGGCAGCGCGAGGCAGGGCAGCAGGGCACGGGGCCAACGGCTCGCTGTGACCAGCCTCGGCCAAACCTAGGCGGGCTTGACTGACCCAGCGTGGTGTCACGGGGTGACCACGTGGGACGCGGCCATGTGCGCAGCGCGGGGTGGCCGCGTGGTGATCGCGCGCACGGCGCTAACCATCCCGAGACTATGATGTGCATGAATTTTAAAGCGTCGATAGCAACTAAACGGTTGAGGTTGACACTAAACCGCCTTCACTATGCTAAAGAGGGCCTATTAGGCTACCAATCCGAGCTAAAACATGACACCACCCCTTAACTCAATTTCTCAAAATAATTTGCTAAACATAGCAATGTCTAGCTGTTGACAAACTTGGAAATTTTTCTGTTTTTGAGCTGAACTTGATTTCAATTTGCAATTTCTAGGCTAGTAGAAATATTAGTTAGTAATATCATTTTTCGACAGGAAGTATTTCACTGTCATCTACAAAGTTTGTACTTCAAACTTTATTTAAGTATCACACACATGTTCTATAGTATTTTTGCTTAATAAAAATTAGTTTTTAACCCTACTTGATATACATGAACTATTGAATCAACTTTCGTTTAACATTTTCATTGGTCATTTTAGATTACAAGAAATTGATCTACACACTTTATCACATGTACTAACACATAAATATGATGATCATGACATGTTTTAGTAAATGATTTAGGGTGTTACACAAGACACAAGCTAGCTTTTAAAACTAATTACACTAAAGAGCTTAGCTACACTAAAAAAGTAATGCAAGAGAGGTAGAGATGATATACCGCCGTGTCAAGTGACAATCAATCAATAATATTAGAAATTCTTAGAGACAAATGATGACACAAGATTTTTCATCGAGGTTCACTTGCTTGTCGGCAAGCTAGTTCCCGTTGTGGTGATTCACTCACTTGGAGGTTCACGCGCTAATAGGCTTCACACGCCTAACCCGCAATTGGGTGTCGCACAACCAACACATGATGAAGATCCATAAGCCACGAGCAATCCACTAGAGTACATTTTAACTCTCCGCCGATTAAAGGTCAAGAACCCCTCACAATCACCACGATCGGAGCCGGAGACAAGCACCTTCCTCCGCTCGACAATCCTTGCTGCATCAAACCGTCTAGGTGGCGGCAACCACCAAGAGAAACAAGTGAAATCTACAGTGAAACACAATCACCAAGTGCCTCTAGATGCAATCACTCAAGCAATGCACTTGAATTCACTCTCAATCTCACAAAGATGATGAATCAATGATGGAGATAAGTGGGAGGGCTTCGGCTTCGCTCACTATGTCAACGAAAATGGCCAATAGAGTGAGCAAGAGCCGGCCACATGACTTAAATAGGGAGCCCCTTCGAAAAGAGTCGTTGGCCCCCTTTACCTCACTGGTTTTGGGGCGACCGAACGCGTGGCCCCCAGCGTCCGATCGTGGATCGGCGTCCACGTGTCCCCACGTTCAACGATGACCGTGCGATCCCAACGGTCGAGTTTGGCCGCGCCAGCACCTAAGTGATGACTGGACGCGCCAGTACGGCAACCGGACGCACCTCCACTGCGTCAGATCACGCACGTGCCTACACACCCAACGTTACGACCGGACACGCCGTAGCTCTGATCTGACGCGCGCCAACTCGGAGTCAGGTCGAATCCAGTACGGTTTTCGAGCGGCCTTTTGAAGACCAGACACGTCCGATTAGGAGCGACCGGACGCGCCCAGCGTCAGGTCCTCTTCTCGCTCGCACAACCGCTCACGTCAGCATACGTCAAACTCGACCAGACACACAAGCGTCTTCTTGCATCGGTGTCCGATCTCACACCGAGACCGAGTCCTTCACTGCTATAAATGACCGGACACGCCCCTCCGAGTCCGGTCACTCTGGAACCAGAGTTCGGTCAGTGAAAACAACACCTCCTCTTCTCCAACTTCACCACCCTTGATTAAATGTGCTAACCACCAAGTGTATCACCTTATGCACGTGTGTTAGCATATTTTCACAAATATTTTCAAGGGTGTTAGCACTCACTAGAATCTAATGCACATACAATGAGTTAGAACATCTAGTGGCACTTTGATAACCGTATTTCGATACGAGTTTCACCCCTCTTAATAGTACGGCTATCTATCCTAAATCTGATTACACTCGCTAAGTTTCTCGATCACCAAAACACAAAAGCTTCTATCAAGTTTTACCTTTGTCTTGAGATTTTTATTTTTCTCTTTCTTCTTTTCCAAGTCCGAGCACTTGATCACCATAGCCATCACCACCAACATGATCATTATCACTTGCTCCACCACTTGTAATGTGCTACCCTATCTCATGATCACTTAGAGTAAAAGAGATAACACTTAGGGTTTTATCAATTCACCAAATACAAACTAGAGCTTTCAGACGTGCTCGACTACCACGGGCGAAGGCCACGACCTACGGGTCGGTACGAGCGCGTGCTCTAGCACTCCCTGGCTGGCGTCGATGAGTGCGCGTACGACGTGATCCACAGGCGCAAGGAGGAGCTCGCCGAGGTTGCGACCGGCAGGGCGCAGGTCAGACCTGCTCACCATGTTCACCAAGATGCGCGATGTGACAGATGGTTGCCGTGCCGTCCGCGCCTCCGTAGGCGGTGGCCTGGGTGGCGGCTGCGGGTCACTCGGCGACCAGAGAGCTTGCCGTCCACGGCTTCGCTTGTCTACAGGGAAGAAAAGAGTAAGAGGAAAGTTTGGGCGCCTGACAAATGGGCTTTACTATAGGGCAAATGGTCATTTCATCTGTGTGTTTAACACCGTTACAGACAAAAGTTGACGGAATGACGTGGGAAGCAAAATAGTTCAGAGCAGTGGCACCTGCGAGATCTTAACTTTTTAAATGACCTATGATTAATTATTAACTTTTATATTGACACATAGGTAAAAGCCTCGTGATTTTGCTCTCACGATTTTGAAATGAGGCGTTCATTTGCCTCTAGTTTGTAACAGTGTGAAGTGTGGAGAGATTAAATAAATGGAAAAAAAGAGAGACAATTCTACCCGCGGTATGGTGTAGCGCGGCCTGCCGGTGATACAAATATAAGATTCTACCCTTCCATTAGTGCTAATAAAACTATAACTAACTCTAATTATTCTAATGACAATTTAACTTGTGGCTATAACATGCACATGTATTATACTCGACGGGTATAGATAAAAAATCTCACCTCCATATACAGATACAAAATCTTATACTACGAGATATATATGCAATTTATCACAAACGATTATTCATTTCATGCATACTTTATCCAACCCAGTGCCATCTCTAAGTGGCTAGCCTTAGATTAAAAAAAAGACTAGTCAAATTTACTGATTTAGCTACTCTCTAAAATAGATTTGATAAAAAAAAATACTAGAGTATTTCAACAGACTCTATAAAACCAAGAGACTGGATGATTAGTGAGATAGGCTATCCAAAAGTAGATAGCGAATGAGGTGAAACGTCATATTTTTTCCTTCAATAATAACCAAATTTATCTTTAGAAAATGATTTGGCTAACCTCCTGAAGATGCTCTAGTACTCACTCTATTCTAAATTGAAAAAATATTTTGATATTTTTAGATATTATATATATATTTTGTTAAGTATTTAGATATATGCCATATCTAAATATGTATTAAAAATAATATATCTATAAAAATCAAAATATGTCATTATAGTTTAAAATAGAGAAAATATTTTATAATTTGGAATAGAGGGATGGAGTTCCTCAATCCTAACCTGAACCTGATATAACTCCCGTTTTCCTCTTTTCCCCTTGAGCCTTCCACCTTCCTATCTTTCTCCTGCTTCTCACAGAGTCACACCGAGCCAAACCCTAATTCACGGCTGCCGGAGATGGGACAAGGTTCTCCCGGCGGGATGGGCAAACAGCCCGGGCTCCCGGGCGACCGCAAGCAGGGCGACGGGAAGAAAGAGAAGAAATATGAACCACCCGCCGCCCCCTTCCCGTGTCGGCCGGAGGCAGAAGCGGCAGAAGGGCTCCGAGGCGGCGGCGCGGCTCCCCGCCGTGGCGCTGCTCTCAAAGTGTCGCCTTCGCCTGCTCAAGCTCGAACGCGTCAAGGACTACCTCCTCATGGAAGAGGAGTTCGTCGCCAGCCAGGAGCGCCTGCGCCCCAGCGAGGATAAGATGGAGGACCGATCCAAGGTCGACGACCTCCGCGGCACCCCCATGAGCGTTGGTTCGCTGGAGGAGATCATCGACGAGAGCCACGCCATCGTCTCCTCGTCCGTCGGGCCCGAGTACTACGTCGGGATACTTTCCTTCGTCGATAAGGACCAGCTCGAGCCTGGATGTGCCATTCTGATGCACAACAAGGTATATATGAAATCTTCGCATTGATCTCATGGATTAAAATACGGAATTGAAAGTGTTACGTATGTTTCAGTTAGTGATTCAGTGTGGTATTCAGGAGATCAGCGGTGGAAAAAGTTTAATTTTTATATGAATATTATGATTTCTATTGTGTCTAGTGGTAAACAAGTGATAATTAATAGGCTGTTCTGGTTAATTTATTGGCTTTACTGTAAGAACATTGGGTTTATTTTGGTTCTGTATGGTGGAATGTGGAGAAACCTTAAAATTTTGAAGGACACAATTATAGCATATTATCGTGTTTCATAGGTGCACAAGCACAATAAAGAGTTGAGAGAATTCCATGAATTCTATATTTGTTTAAATTCATTCATTGCTAATTCATCTAGGCTTATGGACTGTGAATTCACAGTTATGGGTGTATAATATATCTGTTCAATATGACCTCGTGTGGAAACTAAAGAATGTAATTTGTTTGGTTTCTATCTATAGATCATTGCATAGTTTTTAGGCTGCTGTTTTTTTTTTGACATTTCTGCTGTGTTGTTATTGATTGTATTGTCATGTGCTATAAAGAAAATAATTTCTTTTCCCACCATGCGCATAAACTTGGCATAGACTTTGGTATACAAATATTTGGAAATTGATATTGCAGCTTGGAGTATTAGTGATCTAAATGGCAGGTAGAAAACTTGTCACTCCAACTTCAAGTAATAATGCATTTCATGGCCTTCAGAGGTTTGCCTTGGTATATACAGAAGTTTCTTTTTCACGATTGTTTTAGCAGATACGATGCTGCCCTTCAAGTGATGTACTCTGCGTTTTATGTACTTTCTTGATTTGAATGCGTATTTAGTAAACACTAAACAGCTTGGCCAAATGTGTCCCTTAGGTTCTGTCAGTGGTTGGTATTTTGCAAGACGAAGTTGATCCTATGGTTTCTGTCATGAAAGTTGAAAAGGCACCTTTGGAGTCTTATGCTGACATTGGTGGCTTGGATGCTCAAATTCAAGAAATCAAAGAAGCAGTTGAACTTCCCTTAACACATCCTGAGCTATATGAGGACATTGGTATCAGACCTCCAAAGGGAGTTATACTATATGGGGAACCTGGAAGGCTGGAACAGGGAAAACTCTACTCGCAAAGGTTTGTGCTGATTCCTTGAGGACAGTTCCAAGTTTTTATTTCCATGCCTTAGTTATTTTTGCCCATCGATAAAGCAGTGAATCAACTGAACGCTTATCATTCTTTTTTTCTTCCTGACATAAGATATTCTCAAGTTCTGGTATGAGAATACTATGTCTCTGTTCGTAAAAATCATCTTTTAATTACATAAAACTTTTGAATGCTGCAGGCTGTTGACAATTCTACATCAGCAACGTTCTTGCGTGTTGTTGGGAGTGAATTGATCCAAAAGTACCTCAGTGATGGTCCCAAGCTTGTTAGAGAATTGTTCAGGGTGGCTGATGATCTTTCTCCTTCAATTGTCTTTATTGATGAGATTGATGCAGTTGGGACAAAGAGGTAGGATATATCAGACATGAAAGCTTACCACAGTAGCTATTTTCTTTGGTTATGAAAAAATTGCTGCTGGCGCTTCTAGTGAATGGATTAATGTGAGTTTTGCTGTTTCTTGCCCTGTTGTAGGTATGATGCTCATTCTGGTGGCGAGCGTGAGATTCAGAGAACCATGTTGGAGTTGTTAAATCAGCTGGATGGTTTTGATTCAAGAGGAGATGTTAAAGTTATTCTAGCAACAAATCGCATTGAAAGTCTTGACCCAGCCTTGCTTCGCCCAGGTTGAATTGACAGAAAGATTGAGTTCCCTTTACCTGATGTCAAGACCAGGCGACGCATCTTCCAGGTGCTTCTATGTGACGAAAGCTTCTCAGTCCTATTCTTTTAATAGAAAAGCAGCTTTGTTCTTACCAGGTTTTGTTTTGATGAGAAGATACACACATCGAAAATGACACTGGCTGATGATGTAAACCTAGAAGAGTTTATTATGTCAAAAGATGAGTTTTCAGGTGCCGACATCAAGGCCATTTGTACTGAAGCTGGCTTGCTTGCTTTGAGAGAGCAGCGGATGAAGGTAAGACAACTCTGTACACCAAATACCCCCTTCTGTTTTTCCATAAATCTGCTACTTTGGCTAATCTTGTTGGTACCTGATTCACTTTTTTTTTGGTACCTATAAGCAAATTCACCATAGTTAACCTTTTGTAATAGCCTATAACTTGGATACAAGGTCACAGAAAATATCCACTCATGATCTGCTATTTGGTTTCCGTTGCATTAGGTGACGCATGCAGACTTCAAGAAGGCCAAAGAAAAGGTCATGTTCAAGAAGAAAGAAGGCGTACCAGAAGGCCTCTATATGTGAGACTCATCAGCAGCGCTAGAAGCCTTGGCGTTTGTAATCTGCTTAAATGGTCCGAGAATGTTTGCTTATTACAGCATTTTTTTTTGGTTGGAAACTAACAACTCAAACAACAGTTATCCTATTACGACTACTTGGATATATGAAATGGCAGCGATGAGTCAGGATGAGGTTGAATGCTGGTTGTCTGTGTGCAGGCGTGGACATGTATGACTATTCGTAAATGTAGTTCTGTTTATAGATTGTTGCGTTCTGGCTGTAAAAACAAAGATTTTTGCATGTATGGCAGTTCGACTTGCGGCTGGGAAATTATGGTTTTATTTTACAATCTCAGAGCATCTCCAAGAGACTTGGGATCTAACTTGCTATTTCTAACATAAGAAATCTGGTCTCCAACGGACTAGCTAGCGCCAGTGCTATTCAATTTGACGGGCTATCCCGTGAGGGTCGGAAGCCAGCCATTTTGCTATATGAGCGTATGTGACAACAGTTAGTGCCATGTTTGTGTTGCTCTAAAATTCCATTCTTTTCTCCTCCTTTCATAGAATATAGAGTGTGAGATATGTCTAGTCTGTTGGAGTGTGCTGAATTATATAGAGAACTTTTATGGAGTGGTTAGCCAAATGAAGATATGGAGCGTGGAATTTAGAATGTTTCTTGGAGATGCTCTTATAACCATATGTTTGGTTGGTCGGATGGGAAGTCCCAGATTCATGGCTGTTTGGTTTCAAACGAGCGGGATGGGAGTGAGATGGAAGTATGGAACAATCAACCATCCCGGAGAGATATTCGGTGCAGATGCAGATTGAACAAAATTCACCTCTCCTCACCGTCTTCTCCGTCGCCAAGTTACAGGACTTGTATGATAAAAAAAAGTCACAGGACTTGAGTGGAGGGCGAGATTAGGGACGGGGCGGTTTTGGGTCAGAGCCCCACGGATTTTGGTCCAACAGGTGTGGGTGCGAGAGTTGAGAGGGAAGAAAACATGGAACGAAGTAGTTCCAAATAAACCCTGAATCAAACAATAAATTAAAATAAATTCATCCATATTATTCCTAAATTTAACACAGGCTACCTAGACCAAACTAGACCATAAGATGTAATTGGCTCTGCGAAAGTTAACTAGACCGAAGATGTACTCCCTCCATTCGGAAGTATAAGCCGTTTTGGCTTTTTTAGATTTTAAGTATCTATATCTAGAAAAGTCAAAACGTCTTATAATTTATAACAGAAAGAGCAGTAGGTTCCGTAAAAGGAGAGAGAGAGATCAGATTGCCTAGTGAGTGAGAGAGCCAAAAGGAGATGAGCTGCAGGCTAGTGAGTGAGAGAGCCAAAAGGAGATGAGCTGCAGGCCTGGCCTGCAGCCATGCAGGAAACTGGCACATGAACAACTGATGCAAGTAGTTGAATTAACTCTGGACATACTAATTGCTCTTTTGGATAATAAGATTGGTGGGACTGGATGTCAAGTGATATGTATAGTATATCTATACCTAACCGTAAAAAATGAAGATTTATGTTAAAAACCAAATATTTTTTTCTTCCGTCTGTTGCTTCTATGCTTCTCGATTTGAGTTTAAAGTTGCAACATCTTCGTTGACATTGTTTGCATGGCGGCATGCGTGCGGGCACATGGCTCACCCTTCACCTTTTTTTGAACTCATAACCGCTACACATAATAGCCATCTATTAAAGTTAAGTCAATCCCCTGTTAATTTCTCGTACGAGATTAATCCTTTGTTGTATTAGCATTTATTCTAGGACTTGAAATAATTTATTTAAGGAGATCAAGTCTAATTAAATCTAACAAAAATAGTTAGCATATTACCATTAGCACAAACAAATTGTATGCCCTGTTGCTCGGGCTTATTTGCTGTTGGTAACATAAAGAGAAATTGATACATATATGGTTGAAAGAAGAAACTGTTGAGATGTGGTAAAAAAAAGAGAGAAAATGTACATATATGGTAACAAAAAGAGAAACTGATACATATATGGTTAAAAAGAGCAAATGTAAAAAAATTCACAAAAACAATGTTGAGAGTGGGATTTGAACCCACGCCCTTTCGGACCAGAACCTTAATCTGGCGCCTTAGACCAACTCGGCCATCTCAACTGATTTGATCTAGGTAATTATTTTATGATATTTATAAGAATCTTAACCAGTCAAATCATGTGACTTGTTGAGTTTTTCAGTTTTTGAGTGCTATCAATTATTTTGTGAGCACTTTGAGGACCTAATTTTATAAAAAAAAATATTCATACTTTTAATTGCAAGTTGTTTTATTTTTTATTTCTAAATCAATTTTATCTAACTTGACCAAGTTTATAAAAAAATGTATTGACATCTATAATACAAAATAAATGCAAATTCAAAATATACGTATATATTGAATCTTATTTGAAGTTGTAGATATTTGTATGTTTTTCTATAGACGTGGTCAAAATAAGTGAAGTTTGACTTTAAAAATATGCCTCAATTCAAAATTCCCATCTGCTCCAATGCTAATTCAGAGGGCATTTTTTCTTCCATAAAAAGTAACGGTTTTGGGTTCATATGCACGAAACCTATATTTTTTAACATTTGGTTCCTATTCATGAAACCCTATATTTTTAGACCCAGCTGGATTTAACCGCTTGGGCATTGAGCCAGGAAAAACTTATTATAGGCTTTTTTTATATATAATCAGTGATTAACATCTTTTTATAATACTTCCTGCCCCAGGGAAGTCGAATCCTCATTCCCCTGCCTCCTTAAAGAGCGATGTTCTCATGGCCTATTTAACAGAGCTCTATTTAATTCTGATTCTCTATGTAAGTTAATTTTTCAAGAAAAGTAATTCTGTGGCTGAATGTGATTCTCTTTGATTGTTTCGCATAAACCCTCAAACTCACTATGGAGAATCACTTCACAGAAGCAAGAGAAACTACTTTTTCCAGCTCCCAGGCTCTTAGTTCATTTCAGAGAATCACTTCATAAACAGTAGAGAATTTTCAGCTCCCAACTTCTTAGTTCATTTCAGAAATCACTTCACAAAATCAATAGAGAATCACTTCTCTCTTAAAAACTCACTTCACAGACAGTAGAGAATTTTCAGCTCCCAACCTCTTACTTCATTCTCTCCGAAAAACTGTTTGACAGAGCTTTTACTAGATTCAGCAGAAAATCAGCTCCGAAAGCTCTGCCAACCAGGGCCTCAGCCACTAAACGATTGGGGCAAAGACCAATGACGAAATGCAGATGTAAGAGTGGCTAGCTATGCCATAGAATATCCTGCTATTCTTTGTATCTTCAGTGAAAACCCGTTCTGATAACCACTTCCCTGATGACAAGCAAAATCAACACAAAACAAAAAAAAAGGCCAGAAAAACGAGGAAACCTCTGAAACATAGAGGTAATAACAATAATACAGCGTGTGTAACTCACATAGTGAAAGAAGAAACTGAAAATACAACAATATCTAGCGATACTGCTAAATAAACGGGGACACAGATGGATTCGTTGACAGAACTGCATCTGAATCTTCAAGTGGTAGATTGTGTTGTTTCGTCGGTTTGTAGTCACTGCAGCAGTGCAGGTGCGGGTGCAGCTCCTGCAAAGTAAAAGGATCTTCTCAACCAGATATCAAATGGTCCAAAGAAACGACCAACAGAAAGTGCGAATTTACACAGCGTGATAAAGCATAGGCCTTTTGACAAAGATCAAATTCGATATATAACTTTTGCCTTTCTGTGCTAGAAGTTAAACAGAACAGTAGAGTTCTGGTCTTTCTAATGTTGTTACTTCTGCTTAGATAGGATTATTCCAATCATAACTACGGAATTTTTTGTAGAACCTCTTAACCTTGATAATTGTGACAAGGAAAATTATATGTCAGCACAAATATGACTAACAAGTATGCATGGGGCATGGAAAAGGTCTAACAAGCTACCATATCTTCTTGATGATACTGTCTATTGAAAATGTTTTTCAGCTAAATGTATAGCATACAAATGAACTAATGAATATGCTTCAATTAATTAACTCATGATGCTTAGCTACCAGGAAAAGGGCACATGGAGGTACATGAAACTTACCCGCCCATTAATGTCAAAATCTCAAATTTTCTTATTTGCATGTTTCCTTAGCATCATCTGAGCCTGAGTCCGAGTCACTAGCATTGTACCCTGCAAAACAAGAACCTGTCAGGTCTAGCAAATAGTAGAAGACCACATGCATCTATACAGTTGTTGGCATGACGAAGACACCAAAGAACCCTGTAAACATTGAAATGAAGGTGGGATATGACCTGGACGTTTATTGCTAACTTTCCAGACTGTAGACCGATATCTTGATGCTTTCTCCATCCAAACCCTTGCCTATATAATGAAGTTGGTCAGTCAAACTTTTGTTGCAAATACAACAGGAATGATCACAGGATCCAACATAGGTGAGCTCAGCGCCCCTCTGGGCCTGCTTTTGCAGCTCTCCTACCGGTTCTTGAAAAAAAAACATAGGTGAGCTCAGAAAGAAATGTTCAATAAGATCTTTTCCTCATTATTTTTCATTTTTTTAACACCCCATACTTCCACCCATTGGATTCCAAACCTATTCTGTGCTGTTGTAAAATCTATTCCCAGCTTCAGTGCACAATAGAGATTTGGTGCATTCATATCCAGTCTTATAAGATTTCTTTACATGCGCACCTATTTGCAGCCTATTATTCAATTTTTATCACAAGGTCCTGGGCTCCTGGCAACCAAAGATGTTGCAGTCGCAATTTTTAGCTCTAGAATGTAGATGTCAAGCACCGAATATGTGATAACAAGAAAGTGGTACCCTTCAAAAAAAAAAAATTACAAGCAGGTGCTGCTTTCAGCATCTTAACAGCATGACTAGTACAACTGAACAATGCAATCTATAGTTTTATTATCAACAAATGTAGTGAAATATGTTGGCATGAATCTTCCACCTCTATTCCTCATGTCAGCCAACACTCCCAAGATCGTCTTACAGATCACAG